AGTGTTATTAAATTTAAAGTGCATCCACTAGGTTTAGTAGCATAACTTATTTCATAAACACGAGAGTGTATGTCTTAGGTTTTTAAACAATTAGCTTTTACCGAAATACTTTATAGGCCAAGCGATTCACCGAATTCCCGAAGTCCGATTATCACATACCGGTATAACTAGTACTATTATTTTTAATTAAACTGTTTCCCTCCAAAAATCGAATATTCATCGCTTAGTTAGACAAACTGTAGCATTAGATCGTATGCGATTGATCCTCAGTCTCTGTGGGTTCGATAATCTTTTAAAACTAGAACGACTGAACTGTATACTTGCAGTTAGTATCCCGATAGACTCATAAAGTCCCGATCAAAAATACAGTGGTTTATACTTTTAAAGTGAAAGAGAAAGCAAAGGCATGGATATACCAAGACAAATGATTTGCAAAAGACCTTAAGAGTCAGTTTACACAACTTTGTTGTAGTATGCTTTCAAAAGAAACCTGGCTTCAATTAGGTCTTTGAGGGTTGTAACGTGGTCTGGTTCACGGTTTAAGAAATAAAGGATAAAGGCTCAAAGTTTATTTGTACCCATTCCAATCTTCGTGATGTTCTTCAGTCCTACATTCAGTTAATTTAGTATATGCATTGTGGTTCTAATAGATTTGGAATTGCAACACTGATGTTAGTAATGATGATGGCTCAGAAAAAAAAGGATTTTTTTTAGAATGGCAGTCACTTCTTCTTTAAACATTTTGTTGTTTTTGTTGAGGACTTTTATTAACTCACTTTGTCTTTAGTGAGGACTTTTGGTGACCTCTTTTTTTAATAAAAAAAATTGTTATCCTTAACTTTTTCCTGAACTGTTTCATTTGAGATTACAGTCAGCAGGATTCCCTAGTTTTTGCCTAAGTCTCCTTTATATGTTTTGACTTAGCGAGATTTTCTTTTGATTTTTCTTTTCATTTAATTTTTCTTTTTTGAAAGATAATGATTGTTTGGCTCAATGATTACGGGGAACCATCTTTGTCACTTTTGGTTTGGGAGCATCTTTAACACTTCTTTTATGTGTGCGAAGGAAAGCTTGACCGTGACCTTTATTGAAAGGTGTCTTACATGATTTCTCTTGTAATTGAATGCACAGCCAAATTAACTGAGAACTACCCATCCCCAGGTTAATATTGCGGGTTTTTTCATATAGAAAGAAACTCCAACTTCTAGGCTCAAATGGGTAAACGAGGGATTAACTTCCTTATTTCTTCAGTATTTGGGAATTGAAACAATGCCTTACATCGTCATAAATTTTTTATTCGAAAGCATACCAACAACAATTATGGGTACTTTGTTTTCATCATCCTCCTTCAAATCTTTGTATAAACAAAATTTTGATAAAGAAAGTAAACAAGAGAAATATATTTAAAGCATGTAAAATGAAAATGATTTGAATAAAAACATTGCAATGTTCATTTCATTAAAATTAACATGAAAGTACAAACAAAATTTGAAAGCAATAGTCAATACAATTAAAGGAAAATTCAAACGGAAAGAAACATGGCCTAGTGACTAATCAGTAACAAGGATAAGTTGTCCTGTCTGAAACCCTGGCTTTAGGAAGTGACTTGAGGGTACCCTGACTTAGTATTCAGCCACTTTGTTTTGGCAAAGGATTGTTGATAACATTAGGACCTGCCTCTTTGAAAGTGAGAATATTTGTCTTCACCCATTCTTGCACTTTGTTTTTTAATGCATAGCAGCTTTCTAAATCATGATCGGCAGCTCCCTGATGAAACTCATAATGAAGGTCAAATTTGAACCTGGATGGAGGAGGATTTCGAGGAATCAGAGGCCTAGTTGTAATCAAGCCCTTCTGCACCATTGCAGGGTTAAATTCATTGTATGTCATATGGATGGGATCAAATTGACCCATATTCCCTACATTACGATTCTGATTCTGCGCAATATTCTATCATTGGGGAACCTAAACTGGTTGAGTCTTGACCACAGGAGCAATAGTCGTTACTTGTGGTTGATCAATGTATTGAGGCCTACGGAGGGGACCTCATCTCTCAGTTGAGACAGCATTGGCTTCTACCTCTTTCTTCTTCTAAAAGTTCCCAAAGTAATTCTTTGCACCATTAGAAGATTCAACAGCTTTAGACACTTTACCATTCTTTATTCGTTCTTCTAATCTTTGGCCGATAGTCATCAGGTCTATTAAGCTGGAGGACACACTACCAATCATCTTCTCCCAAAATAAAGGGGATAAAGTATCCATGACCAATTCAGTTAGCTCTTTCTCTAGCAGAGGTGGTTCAACTTGAGATGCCAATTCTCTCCATCGTTGAGCATATTCTTTGAAAAATTCTTTCTCATTCTAAGACATATTTTGCAGTTGGCGACGATCAGGTTCCATGTCAAGGTTGTATTTGTATTTCTTTATGAAAGCATTAGTAAGATCTTGGAAGCACTGGATACGATTCCCCTCAAGTCCCATATACCACTTGAGTGAAGCACCACTCATACTGTCTTGAAAGAATGGATAACCAGCTTCTGATTATTGGTATAGGCAGACATTTTCCTGAATTACATGACTAAATGACTTCTCGGACAAGTGTGTCCCTTGTATTTCTCAAACTCAGGAGTTTTAAACTTTGCATGCATCACAAAGTCAAAAACTAAACACATGTTGTCAGCATCAACATTGAAGAACTCATTTCCTTCCATAGCTCTAAGTCTCTTCTCTAAAGTCTAATATTGTTCCTTGACGTCTTCAAACTCACAAAAATCTTCATGATGCAAACTTCGGGGACTGGAAGCATGGTACTCAAAGAGAGGGTTCCTATAAGCAGCTTATGCAGCAGGTTGACAAGAAGTAGTATGAATGATTGGTTGAGGTTAAGTGAAAACTAGAGCCTGAAAGACTGGTCAGGAGGACTGGCCAACCATTGAAGTAGTTGCAACAGGTGGAGAGTAGTTATGAGGCATCCCAAACTCTAGCCATGTAGTAGATGTATGTTGGATAAGTTGTGTGTCAACAGCAGTAATTGGGATTATAAATATCACAGTCCTTTGTGGTGGCACTCCTCTGGAAATAAGGACTTGCATCATCTCAGTAAGTTTGGTCATGCCTGACGCCAACTCATCAATTTCCATTTTGACTTCCATGTTGTGTTGTTCTTGGTTTTCCATTCTCAATTTGACGGCAGCTCTAGTCTCGTAGTTGTGTTGAGGAAACAACTTGACGATCGAAAAATAACTGGAAGAAGGAAACAACCAGGAATGAGATCTTGGGCAACCTGGATGTATGCACAAATGATGCGGATAATGCAAATGATATGCAATGTTATGCAATTTACAACACAGTAACAGGATCACATTTAAAATTCAAGAGCATGGAGTCGAAGGTACTACCCACAAGACAAGGACTAATAATTTATCACTTGCCGAACAAAGGTTCTAAAAGGTTCCCAGAGTCTACATCCTTCCATCGGATATTACTAATGTCCCAATTAACTCGGTAATTAGAAATATTCTCATGAAAAACTCGTCTGAGTGTAGCATCGCGTGACAACCATTTTCAGATTACTACGTCATAGTTTTCGCACTACACCTAAAAGGCCAAGATGGGTTAAGGGTTCTACGGTCCTCAGCTTTAGCAGGCTCCCAGGTTGAAAGCAGTACGCCTTCCTGATTACTCGGTAAACGACATTACAGTCAAATGGGCCTCCACTGAGTGGGGATCTCACGTCTCCTTTTTTTAGATTACTCCCTCAAAGTTAACATGACTATACCGGCCGTCCTATCTTAAGTTTTCCAAAGTATGGGTAGAGGACTTATGAGAAATCACCAAGCATCTTGAAAAACCAGGAATATCCGGGAAAACATATATATAGAATAATGGGAAGTAATGAACAACAAGTAAAACAATATATAAACACTCATAAAAAAGAAACAAACAAATCTAGGATTGACCCACTTAGTAAAGATTCTCCAGTGAAGTATATCAAACCCCTGGTGAAAATAAATCACAAGCCGACGACATCAAAGAAACTCAAATGTAAGATAATACTCCAAACATCGGGTAAAGCATATTGAATCATAAGCGAGAAGCACACCACGTGAAAATAAATCACGGACAAAGAAAACGTGGATGAACCCGAGAGGAATCAGATAAAGCGTAAAGGCGACGGATAAAGCTCATGGTATTGGATAAGGTTCGAGATATCAGATAATAACCCCTGCATCACATGAAACACAAAGACAAATCCAACAGTACAAGGATACAATCCAAAATCTGAATAATGCTCAAGTGTAAATTACTGAATATAGCACTTTATTAAACATTTTTTTAGAATAGATTCATGTAGGAATAAACTCTAAGTGGCCGGGGAAAAATATATGCGTCCATACGATTTTCAAAAGTTAACTTGAGTTAAAGTTTAAAATCTCAACGCAATGAAAAGAATATTAACATAACTTGAATTTATTTACAAGTGAATTGAATAAAATATAAAATCAAAAGTATTATGTATAATTACATATTTACATTACTAAATATTAAATCAAAGTAATAAAATGAATACAATAAAAATGTAAATGACAAAGTATATATGTGCTAAGAGAAAATGTATGCTTGGACAATTCTCGAGAACCTTCACATTAACAAAATTGTTAGTAGCATGAGAGGGATAAAATGAAATGAAATGAAATTGCGACAATTAGAACATGTGTTAGTAATCACAATGTATAAAAAAGAAATGAAACTTGCATGATGCACATGAACAAATGAATGTTTCTCAAGAAAAAATCAACATGGCATACATTGCACTAATCACATTTAAAGTCACGCAGGCACAACGATAAACATGATTTTACGATCACAAATGCAACAAGGATCCACAATTCACATTGTAACTTGAAAATTTAAGTTCAAAGAAAGCTTTAAACCCTTAAATGGAGTTTTGGGCAGCAACTCTATAAAACTGTTATCGCACAATAAAAGTCGATTAAAACATGAACAAACCCTCACAGGAATACATCAATATCACAAACGAACTCATTTTCGGGCAACAACCAAAAGAAAGAAGTAATGCTCAAAATATTGTCTCGAAAGGAATACAATGCATACAAAAAACATCGATATCACAATCAAGATTCCAACATTCAAACTCAGCTCAAAAAGGACAAAACGTCATCAAAATCTCTTTTGAAATGATTCAAATCAAAAAGCCACAATATTAATGCCATTATTCACAATAAAAATGCCGAATTGAACCGAGGCATATGTTTTTGTTCAATAGCAAGTAAGCATAAATTATTGTAGTTTCACATCCAGAGCAAAAGCTAAACTCATGCTAGCATTCAATTATAGACACTAAAATTTGTTTATTTCTACATGAATTTGGACAAAACAACAACATCCACATTGGTATTTCGACCTAACTTATCACGTCGACTCAGAATCGCTCGCAAAAATGCCATCGGTTCAAAGTTAGCACCAAAAAAAACTTTTGATACTCATCCGAAATTATTCAAACCCAATGGGATCAACACATGAAATTCAAACTAAATTAATTATTCCATTTTCAAAACAAGTAGAACAACATTGACATCAACAAGTTCATCACAGTTTCAGCACAAACAAACATAACAAACTTATTTTATTTAGAATTTCATTACAGCTATTTATGCAACATAACAATTATACTCAACAGATCAAAACTAAAACCAACACAAACTGTTTCTCATAAGTCCTCACAACAAATTAATAGTTCTAACGCGAATAAGGCGATATCGAAATTTACCAAGTGACGGTTGATGAGACTGAGATGAATAGATGATGAAGATTGAGGAAGCTTACAGTTCACACACGCGGAGCTGGACTGAGAAGTTGCTGGACAGAGGGATACGGCGGTAGAAGTTTGAATTTGGAATCAGAGCGGATTGTTGTCACGGAAACAAAAACAAAGGGATTGGTGGTGGCAGTAGGCGAATCGCGGAGACAGGTTCAGTGAAGGATGCACATGAGGGCGTTTGATGATGATGATGATGATGATGAATAGTGTTCTGATTGGTCGATGGTAATATATATGAAGAGGAAATGAGTTATTGATGGTGATGAAAGTGAGCTTGACGAAGGTGAGGTCATGAAGCCAGAGGATGGATAGATCGGAATGGTGAATTGCAGGGGGGGTAGCAAGGGCGATTAAAGGAGCTTGGTGATGTTGTGGTGTTTAGTGGTTCCGCTGATGTATGATTTGAGAATGGAAATGGATCAAGGGCGGATTATGTGAGATAGAAGGGAATTTGATGGAGGTTGAAGGAGGAGGATCAGTTATGCGTTTTTGCTTGGATCTGAATCCGCCTCCCATGATACAAATCTTAATCTCACTATTATATACAAATCAAAATTAGGTTTTGTCATTTTTTAGATGCCCAAAAAGTCCTTCAATGATAAAAAAGACATAAAAGTCTGAATGATCAAAAAATGACATATACAAAAATATTTTTTTTTTAATTTTTTGAATAAAAAATAGAGGCCCAAAATGACTAAAAAAGGATATTAATCTATCCGAAAAAATGAAATGAACACATTAAAATAAACTATATGTCACAAAGATTAATAAAAAATGACCAAATGGTCAAAATCAAAATAAAATAAGAATAAAAATATCAGGATGAACAAATGCTTATGGTTAAAAACGAGACTTCACATTGTATCGAAAAAATAAAGTGAGCGTACCGATATGATCTACACAAAACACAAATTCATAAAACAGTCAGTAAAAAGTGAAAACTTGAAATATTTTCTCGCTAATTTTCTGCACAGTGTCGAATCTCTTTTAACGATCTATTCGTAAAACTAAAATATTAATATTATCGAAATATAAATAATTTGGAGCAATGTAAGAAACGAGTAAAGAGATAAAAATGCATGAAGTGAAATATCAGGTGTTTTTTAATTACAAAATGATGTAAACTTCGATTTAAACTGACTTTTGGTCAACTTAAATACGAGTAATGATGTAAAATGTGATGAATGAAGATATTTATTAATGATTGTGACCAAATAGCAAAATACGATAAGATAATGCGACTAAAAAAAATTTAGGGGCAAAATTTAGGGTGCAACACACATTACGCAGAAAAGTGCTCAAGTTCATTGTACTTTAAAATCAAAAGGGATGATCGTTCTTAGAGAATTCATGGTTGATTTCGACAACTTAGCTGCTAATTGGTGTGACCTAAAGAAGGAACTAGGCATTCAAGGCTGAGAAAACTATTTCAACGGGCTTTATGGTCCAGTTTATGGGGTGTTAGTGAAATAATTCTGGAAAATGGATGACTGTAACTATTTTCACATTGTCTCTAATGTGATTGGGAAAAGAATCATTATTACTGAAGAATCTATTGCAAAACTCTTGGGGTTGAAGTTTCTGCAAGGTAAACGTGTTTATGGAATGGATGCTAAATCAAAGTTTGCAAAGGAATCCCTTAACTAGCTATTCTTAAGAATTATTCTGCTAAGAAGATGGAATACAAGAGAAAAGATCTTCATGATCATATTAGAGTTTGGCATAAGATTAGCCTGGGTTGCATAAACCCTAGATCTGCTTCAAGCTTCTTTGATTACTTCAGTGTCAGTCAGAAGTACATGTTGTACTATCTACTAACCAAGCAGAAAATAAATCTCCCCTATATTATGTTTAGTTATATGAGGGATTATATCAAGAAGACAAGAACCACTTCTAACCCAAAAAAAAATTCATCTTATATTCCTTACAGACATTTTTGTGGAAAGTGGCTTAGTAAAGTTTTTGGTTGAAGAAGCATATTATACAGAGGATCTGGCTCAAGCATTGAAGATTCTTTTAATGGGAATACTCTGAGGAACATGAAGCTAATAGAGGAACTCAATGTCAAGCCTCTAATTGAGCCTTCGGAAAGTATACATCATAGAAGAATTCCTGTAGAAAATTATCCTCTGTTCTCTAAGAAAGATCTTGTATCTAGTGTTATTGCCTATGTTCCGATGATGCAAGCAGAAGGGCATGATCTGTCCAATTTCAATTACTCAGATCTGCCTGCTGAGGGTGTTGATTGTCTCATAAGAAAAAGGAAGAACAATTCAGAAACTTCTAAACCTAAGAAGAAGAAGAAGTATGGATTTCTTAAAGATGCTACTCTAGGTACTGGAACTTCTGAATCTACAAGTAAGTCTACTTCTCTACCGATTTATATAGTTATTTTTAATATTATTAATGCTACCTCATCCATTCCCATCTCTACAAACATCTTCTCTTACAACATTTTCTCTTCAACAACCCACAATCACCACACCTGTTTTTGTTCCTATTACAAATATTTCATTTGTTTCTGATACCGTTTCAACAATAATTCTGTTAAATGTGACTATTTCACCACCAACCACCACCACATCTACATATGATCCTGCGATCATCATAATTGATCCAATTCCTATTGTTTCTTCCCCCAGTTCTATTCCACCTCTCATTACAACTATCTCATCAGAACCCATGCAAACTTTCATATCTCCGATAACCTCGTCTCAATCACTTATAGAAACTCCTAATTTTCTAGTTTTGATAACAAACTTCATTTTGCATTTTTCAAAAAAGAATCTACTCTCCATGATGCACCCACTATCCATCATGATCCACATTCTCCTTCTGATCAAGAAATGTCTGAAAGGACAATTTCTGATACCCTTTAAGCTATTGAAATCCCCGCTGAACAATTTAGTTTTTCTAAAATTATTAATATTGTTGATCAACAATCTTCTGAACCACAACCATCACCATAAAACCTTCCTGAACAAACTGCTGAACCAAAGCATCCTGAACCTGACCTAGCCTTAGTTGTCTATTAAAAACCTGCTCCAAAAACCTTGGATGAATGCATTAACATGTTTAGAATCGAGGCTAAGAAAAAGGTTGTGAAGCGTAGTGCATAGGCAAGCACTTCTACTAAGCCTCAGGATTTGGATATTTCCTGGAAGTTGTTTCAGAAGTGGATGTCTTCTGAGTTTGATCATATGAATACCTTTTCCGAAGCATCCAGAGTTTGGGATGTTCAGATGCTGGCAGAAAGGGCAGAAGCAATAGAAAGAGTCAGACTCTTTGAACTGCTTGCTGCAAAACAAAGAGAAGTTGAAACTAAAGCACTCAAAGAGGCAGAGGAAGCCAGTCTTAAAGCTCAAGAGGCAGAAGAAACCAGAAAAGTTGAAGAAGCCAGGTTGTCTAAAGAGATAGAAGAAGATGATAAAGCAAGACAAGATGTTATAGTGGTATCTTCTTCTAATCCTGCCATTGTGATGTGTGATCGACCTAATGTGTCTAACGTTATCTTAACTGCAAGTGCACAGCCTATCGCGGTAGTAATAAAAAGATGTAGAACCCACATGGACTTTGTAATCACTCTAGTGCTATAAAGGTTTTCTAGTTTAGCTAAGGCGGATGTTGTCACGTTTGGTTTTTTAGAGGTTAAGTTAGAGAAAAACTAAATCGAATTAAGGGAATAATAATAATAATAAAACGGTCGGTATGTAATATAGTGAACCTAAGTGGATCTAATTGAACCTAAGCATATAAAGATGTTTAACTTAGATGGTTCTGTAGAAATTATCAGTTTAAAAACCCTCAACTCACACTCTCGTGGTCTTATCTCGGATTATACCCCTAAAGCCCTATGCCTGCTCTCACTAGCCCATAAGTGTTTAGAAAATACTCTTTGAAAACTTAATAAAGTCTAATTCGTTTTAAAGCGCTCTCGCTGTATTTAAATCAAATGCCTAACTTTAGCTATCCGGTTAAAACCTCACACTCTCGTGGTCTTGATCCTAACCTATTCTACTTTTCTTACTCTCGTAACAAAAAGATTGATTTTAATTATAAAAAGTCACAGCCAGAAATTAAGTTAATTTGGATTTTAGCTTAGGCACAATTTAATCCATTTGGTTACTATTATCACATCCCGACTCTGGAAAATTAGCCAGTCATAGTACTTGAAACAGACATACAGGAAATATAATCGGGAAAGAATAAAACATTCATGATAAATAAATAAATAAACGTAAACAAATTGTATTAAAATTAAATTAAATGCGATTAAAAACCTGAATAATAATATTATTCCTCAAGCTCCCTCTTCCACAAGTCGGCAAGATTGGAACCTTCGGAATCGGAACTTGAAACGAATTCTGAGGCTAAAAATAAATTCTG